AAACATCCTATTACTGGGGTATAAACACTTGGGTAACAACATAATAATCCATCTAATCATCAAATGGGTTCTATAAACCCTAACTTCATATTCACATCAATCACAGAAGAACGAAATCTGAGATATTACCTGATTGATGCACTTTCTGTGTCCCCAATCCTCAGAACGTGATTCTCTTGCTGTCCCTTCAGCTAAACCTTCCTCTTCCTTGCACACAACTCCTCCAAACCCAACAATGGCCTTCAATCCTTGCTCCAGATGCACACAATCGTTCTAGGGTTCTTCTCAGAAAGCAAAAACGAACAATGACGGCCTAAGAGGCGTTATATACGATCCAAAACCAAACGGCTAGGGTTTCTGTTGAACAGCGTCGACTCGCCGAGTCCCTAATGGACTCGTCGAGTCCAGTCGCGAATCCGCGACCAAGTCTGTGGTCCTACTCGGCGAGTCAGGCACCAACTCGCCGAGTCCCCTCCTAAATTGCCCCAAAAATAGTTTTAAAGCAATACCTGAAATTCCGGGCTGTTACATGGGGAGTTCCTGTTGGTGATGAGAATCTTGATTGCCTTAATGATTAGAAGAATTGACGGTTATAGGTTCAACAATTTTCCTTTTAAAATTGCTAAGCTTATCGGTCTCATCCCGATATTCTTTAGGATCTTTCCTTTAGAAGTGGTTTTTTTAGTGCAAATGGGTTTTATCCCCATTATTGGTTGTTTTACTCCTTGGCAACTTGGAGTCTCCACTTTCGTGGGTGCCACTGCTAGTTCGATTAGCAAGTGGTGGGATATTCACCCGGCAATACACGGGATTGGGTACGTTAACCTTAGACTGTACCACAACTGGGTTGGTTGCTTCCTTTATTGTTATAAAAACAACCACATTTTGACCCTTAGGGGTTTCTTTATTCTTTTTGCTTTCCGGTTTATCCCGGATTTCATTGGAACCTTTTCCTTTGAAGTGGTTAACCTTCTATTGCAAATGGGTTTGATCCCTGTTAGTTGGTGTTTTCTTCCTAGGCAACTAGGAATCTCCACTTTGGTGGGTGCCACTACTAGTTCGATTAGCAAGTGGTGGGATATTTACCCGGCAATACACGGGATTGAGTACGTTAACCTTAGACTGTACCACTTATAGGTTAGTTGTTTCCTTTGTAACCATAAAAACAACCACTTTTGGATCCTTAGGGATTCTTTTATGTTATCTGCTTTCTGGTTTATCCCAGATTTCATTGGAATTTTTTCCTTTGAAGTGGTCTTTTTTTTTAAAGCAAACGGGTTTGATCCCCGTTAGTTGGATGCTTTTTCTTAGGCAACTAGGAATCTCCACTTTACTGGGTGCCACTGCTAGTTCGATTAGCAAGTGGTGGGATATTTACCCGTTAATACACTAGATTGGGTACGTTAACCTTAGACTGTACCACAGTTGGGTTGGTTGTTTCCCTTGTTTACATAAAAACAACCACATTTGGATCTTTCATTCTTTTTGGTTTTACCAAATTTTTAATTTTACCTTTGATGTGGAATTTGAAGGTTCAATTCTTAATTTGTTAGGGATGAACCTTCAGGGGTATTCTTGGAATGGAATGAAGATTATAAATTGGATTTTGGAAAAGATTGGAAAGTATTGCAAGAAGAGTAAAGCTCAAAGGTCAAAGTTGATTGTTATTTTTGGGATTAGTTCGTTTTGGAGAATTTTGAAAGTTATTGAATAGTTTGGGCAAGAATGAAGATGTGGAATTTGAAGGTTCAATTCTTAATTTTTTACGGATTAACCTTCAGGGGTATTCTTGGAATATTCTACACCAAATAACATATTATCATTTATAATTAGTTTGGTTAGGTTACCTATTTAAGGTGGCATATTAACGTCCTAGCATTAAAGTGATAAATTTAGGTTCTTACCTTCTGGATACCTGTATTCACTTCCGACCTTAGAGTTTCTATAGGTGTCTATACAGGAAAAAAAAGATATAAATCAAATGGTTTAGGGTTTAGGGGTTAAGGGTTAAGGGTTAGGGTTTAGGGTTTAGGGTTTAGGGTTTAGGGTTTCGGGTTTGGGGTTTGGGGTTTTGTTTTTAGGTTTAGGGTCTAGGGTCAGGGGTCAGGGGTCTACGGTTTTAGGGTTTTAGGGTTTTAGGGTTTACAGTTTAGGGTTTAAAGTTTAGGGTTTAGGGTTTAGGGTTTACGGTTTAGGGTTCAGGGTTTAGGGTTTAGGGTTTAGGGTTTAGGGTTTACGGTTTATGGTTTAGGGTTTAGGTGTTAGGGGTTAGGGTTAGGAGGTTTAGGGGTTTAGGGTTTAGGGGTTAGGGTTAGGGGTTAGGGGTTAGGGGTCTAGGGTCAGGGGGTCAAGGGGTCTAGGGTTAGGGGTTCGGGGTTAGGGTTTAGGGGTTTAGGGTTTAGGGTGTAGGGTGTATGGTCTAGGGTCTTAGGGTCTAGGATGTAGGGTGTAGGGTATAGGGTTTATGGTTTAAGGTTAGGGGTTAGGGTTTAGGGGTTTGGGTTTAGGGTTTAGGGTCTAGGGTCTAGGGTCTAGGGTCTAGGGTTTGGGGTTTAGGATTAGGGGTTAGGGTCTAGGGTCTTGGGTCTAGGCACTTCCTCCGGCAGAAACAAGATCATCAGTGTTTTAAATCTCTTCTCTCTTTCCTCACTATCAACTTTACATTCTTTTAAAATACGTTTTGCAGTTGCAGCTGTGATTTTGTCACTAATATCGGGAAAGTCTTCTAGAAAAGCGTACTTAAGACAGCCAAATATGTCAGGTGCTTCTTTTATATTATCAACATAATAATAATCACCTTCCATCAAGCCCAGAGCAGCAACAACCTTTCGAGCAAAAGTTGAAAGTAGTCGCTTCGTTTACTATCATCAAAAAGCCTGCAAAGGGCTTGTGCCAACTGTGCTGAAGACTCCCTACTGTGTTTTACAGCTGAAAGACCACCAAAAGTGGAATCCTCTATCAAACTGATCTTATCCTCATTTAGATTCAGATCAATAATTTTTTTAATGGTTGACATGAGTTTAAATGGTTGTGGCCGTATACTTCTTTTTTCCTGAAAAAGGTAAAAGTAAGGATAATAATAAATGGTTTCCTACAGTAAGATATAATGAAATATTTTATCTTATCAATATAAAAAAAATCACTTTGCTGATTCCAACTATTACTACCAATATGATATATTTTATATTGGAATGATCTGAAACCAATACCATCATTTTGTCCCAGGTTTGATCTGCATAGGTCCATAAATCAACATCATCCCACGGCCTTTTGCCAGCTATACCATCAGCTGCAGTAGATAGGCATGACATTTTCTTCAAGGCATCCACCTTCAAAGACCAATAAAAAGTAAATAAATAGTATACATCCACAACAAAATGTATATAAAAATTGCAGTCTAATAATAGTCTGCGAAAAAAATATCATGCATACCTCTTCTTTAAATTTTGTTGGGTAGCATTCAAAATTAGACAGGATAACAACTTCAACCTGTTCACTCAAACAATAAGAAGCTCTTATAGTATGATTCAAAGGCATAATATTATGTCTGATTAAATGATTGTAAGATACAATAGAAGTGATAAATCTAGGTTCTTACATCACAAAGATCACTCATTAATGTATGTTCTTGCGGCTTAGTAACAACACCCCATATCTACACCAAATAACATATTATCATTTATAATTACTTTGGTTAGGTTACCTTTTTAAGGTGACATATTAACCTCCTAGCATTAAAGTAATAAATTTAGGTTCTTACCTTTTGGATACCTGCATTCACTTTCGACCTTAGAGTTTCTATAAGTGTCTGTACGGGAAAAAAAAAGATATAAATCAAATGGTTTAGGGTTTACGGTTTAGGGGTTAAGGGTTAGGGGTTTAGGGTTAGGGTTTAGGGGTTAAGGGTTAGGGGTTTAGGGTTAGGGTTTAGGGTTTCGGGTTTGGGGTTTGGTTTTTAGGGTTTAGGGTTTAGGGTTTAGGGTATAGGGTCTGGGGGCTAGGGTTATAAAAAAGTTGTATGGGAATGTAAAAAAACAAATTAAAAACTTGTAAGAAAAAATTAAAACATTTATAGAATATTTGATTTAAAAGCACTTGTATTAAAATTATATAAAAATATAAAAATTTTAAAAAAATTATAAACAAAATGTAAAACATTGTATTAGAAAAACCTATATGTAAAAAATATCATAAAAATGTTATAAAAATTATAAAAAATCTTAAGAAATTTGTAAAAAAACATTATTCATATTTAAACAACTTTTTTTTATATACATTTGATCGTTTAATTTGTTAAATGTATTTACGTATTACTATAACAAATTAAATAGTTAAATGTATATAAAAAACAAAATTACCCAACGAAAACCCCTGTAAATTATCTCACAAATCATTTTCCCTTGATTAAACGGGTTGATTGTGATTTTGGTCGGCCCTTAGGCTGGTGGGTATGGGTACGGTCCAAGACCGCACTTCGTGCCATATAGGATGCGAACACCGCCCTCAGACAGCGGTCTGGTGCGGTCTTCCAATACCGTGCATTTTGATTGGTTGAGGAAGGTAGTTGGTTTTTTTTTTTTTATATATATATATCTTTTTTAAATCACCACTCTCTCAAAAATAAAAAAATTTAAATGTTGTTTTTTTTTAAGTAATCGCAATGTACTGTTTTTTTTTTTAAATTTCAAATAATGAAAAATTATGTTTTTTTTATTAAAATAGAAGTTATATTAAATTAAAATAGTTAAAAAAAAAAGAAAGTTTTATTAAATTAAAATATCAAAAAAATGAAAAATGTAACACCACACCTTTGGTGTGACATAAAACTACACTTAAATGGTAAAAAGTAACATGATGCTTCGGTGGCATCACTCTCTTCAGCTTTATTTTGTGAGGTGGCGGTTAAACTCGAAAATGGATTATTTGTACGGAATTTGGCCCGAATCAAAGCGTTAAAAGGTGGGGGTATGTTTGGAATTTTGTCTAGAGAAGACAAAAGAAAAAGAAATAATAATAATAGAAAAATAAATTGGGGGGAAGGAAAACGACAAGGGTTTTTCATTCGGAGGCAATCAGACTCCTCCGAGATGATGATGAACCCCAACAACAAGACCCACCACCACCGCTCTTCTCCGTCACGCAACTCTCCGCAAGAAACCCATTCCGGAAAATTAATGTGTATCATCGCTCTCCCTGTTCCTGCCCTCAACAACAATGATCAAAATTCTTCTGCCGTTTCTCAAATCATCAATGGCGCCTGCAATGTTGGTAGTAAACGGAAGAAAAAGAATTCCTATGCTCAAAAATGCACCCACCATGTGCAGGTATCATCCAGATTCATTTCTCCCTTGTTTGATTTTTGATTGTATAACGCATTTCACAATTGATTATTGCTTCTTTAGTTTCAACTTTATGGGTTAGAAAAAAATATGTCGCTTATTTTTGTATAGGGATGTGATGAGAAGAAGCCTCAAGTTAACGCTAAACAGGAGGAGGAGCATCTTGGAAATGAAAAAAAGTTTGTAGATTTTGGTAAGGTGAAAATGAAGAAGAGGAAGGGCTCAGACATTGACGATTTTCAGCATTGTCGAGACAACAAATCGAAGAAAAAGAGGAAGGATAACTCCACAGAAGAGGGGGAGCATATGGTAACTGAGAACACTTTACTACAGCATTTTGGTACGCCTGAGCGCAAGGATGAAATTTCTAACAGGGTGATTGAAACAACTACCGAATCTGATCATTCTAAAAACAAGAGGACTCTACAAGTTAATGCTACAAAGGTGGAGGAGATTTTGGGAACTGGAAACACTTCAGAGTATCTTGTTACTGATATGAAGAATGGAGCTCCTAAGAAACACAAAAAGTACAAGAAACAAAAGGATTTGATGGTTAATGAGTCAACTAGGGTGGTGAAAAGAAAGAGAATGAAACCTGAGAGCAGAAAGGAGGAGGAACATAAGGTTGCAGAGATGACTGCTCATTTGAATGAAGGTTCTGATTCTAAGAAGAAGAAGAAGAAGAAGAAGAAGAAGCATCTGAGACCCAATGACAGTGCACAAGATTTAGTTAAAGGTGATGAGCAAGATAATGTTTCTAAAAAGGATAAAAACAAGAAGAGGGAGCGTCTGGCTGTGGATAATCCGTTTTCTGAATTCATGTACACAGGTGGCAGTGGTCATACAATTTGTAATAAGGCAGGTGCATTTTGGCATTCAACCTCTCATGGGATTGCTTCCAATGAACAAAATGATCAAAAGACATCACACAAGGCAGTAGTTGTAAAAGAAGAAAAGCAAGGTTCAATTGATGATCAAAAGGCATCAGTAAAAGAAGATGAAGGGTCTCAGAAAAAGAAAGACACGGTCAAAGTGTCACCCTACTTTCAGAAGGCAGTAGCAAAGGAGGAAGAAGCTTCTGTTGGTGATAAGAACAAGTCCAGAGTGAAGGTATCGCCTTACTTTCAAAAGACACTAAAAGGAAAAGTGGCTTCTGCTGTAGGTCGCTGCAATAAAGGGGGGGAAGGAGAATCAACAAAAGATGATAGTAATAATAATAATAAAGAAAGTGAAAACAGCAAGAAAAAGAAGAAGAGATCGGATTACCTTACTGTTGCACAAAAGAGAGATGAGGCATACAAAAAGAAGACTCCAGATAACACATGGATTCCTCCTCGATCCTGTCATAATCTCATTCAGGAGGATCATATCCATGATCCTTGGAGGATTCTCACTATATGTCTACTTTTAAATCAAACACACGGGTTGCAGGTTTGTTTCCTTTCATCATTGTTTTCATATGATGCTTTACAGTTTTGTTTTCCGTAATAGATTATTATTTATTGTGTGTAGGTGAAACGGGTTATATCAGATTTCTTTACTTTATGCCCAGATGCAAAAACTGCTAGTCAGGTTCCAGTACAGGTGATCGAAGAGCTTATAAAACCACTTGGACTACAAAAAAAGAGGTCAATCATGATTCAAATCCTTTCTGAACAAATTTTGAATGATGAATGGACATATGTTACCGAACTGCATGGCGTTGGGAAGTAAGTCGCCCAACAGTTATTTTTTATTTTTTTTATTTTTTATAAATGTGTTATGATGTGATATAATTGATACAGGTACGCAGCAGATGCATATGCGATATTTTGCACGGGGCATTGGAACCGCGTGGTGCCCAAGGATCACATGCTAAACAGGTACTGGGAATGGCTTCATGAGAATAAGGAGACATTGCATTTAGTCGGTTAAGTATCTAAATCTATACAATATCTGATTATATTTATTACAAGTAGGAGAGTATATGTATATACACACACACACGCACGCACGTTCCACTCTTGGACTTGTAGTGTGGTTGTCCGGGTTTTGTTTTGTTTTGAAGTGGTAGGTTTTGGGGGGGGGGGGGGGGGGGGGGGGGATGGTGTAATGAAAGAGAAAGGTTGTGATTATGTGGATTTGATTTAGTAAAAAAGCTTTTTGAGCCATGTGTAATCTCACCCACCACACCCATAAATCAAAAAGAAGATAATAGCCAAATGAAATTTGCTATAGACTAGTAATTTGGTAAAATTAGAATGCTCAAATCTGATTGATTGCTTAGGTTGTCGAGTGTATGAATATGATTACACAAGTGAAGATGACTTGGGTAGCAATTCCTCTCCCAAGAACAGAATTAAAATTGTGCACATAAATGAGTTGATAGATAACCCGCCTAGTCTACACACAACAACTGAACTAACTACTAATACTAGCTGGTCACCAATTCAACGAGAATATCCCTCCTAAGTCCTAACCGGCTTTCTTATTACAAGACTCCAAAAAGCAAAGTAGCAGTCAATGTCCTAAAGTCTGTGTTCTTGTAGCATGTGGAAAAAAGTTACACCTCAAAGATGACGAGAATCGATCTGGGAACTACGGAGATATCGACAGGTCTAGATTGTCCCATGAAGCTTGAAAGTCTGATCGTTTAAGGCAGAATTTTGTATATCTAAAATATCTTCCGGAATAGCTATCTATAAATTCTACGTCTTAGTTCCCATATTCTCAAGTGAGACTTGAGAGACAGGGTGAATAATGGCCTGACTGTAATTCTCCAACCATAAATTCATGCTGTCAATTTTTGGGCTATTACTCACCTCTGGATGGAATTTCAAAAACCGAAAAAATTGCATCTCTTTTCTCATTTTCCCATATCTGAGTACCGTATGTTTCATACGTCATTGTGCCTTTAACAATTGCATTATGGCTTCATCTAATCTCACACATCCCTTTCCAACCATAAATTCATGTTGTCAATTTTTGGGCTATTACTCACCTCTGGATGGAATTTCAAAAACCGAAAAAATTGCATCTCTTTTCTCATCTTCCCATATCTGAGTACCGTATGTTTCATATGTCATTGTGCCTTTAGCAATTGCATTCTGGCTTCATCTAATCGCACACATCCCTTTCCAATAAATCTTGATCAAACTAATCCAACGACTGACCCTTGTTTATACCTTAACTCAGTGATGGTGGTGGGTCTTGACAATACGACACTTTATAAAGACAGCTCTTCAGGCTATCGTATTGTACAAATACTCTGCTCAGTCCAAGAAAGCGTTTTAGTCCATTTTTGGTTTATTATTCTTCTAACACTCCTATTATCTTGTCACATCAGTTTTTTTAGTGGCATCTCATTTTTCTCCGTTTAACATCTAATGTTAACATTTGGTAATGAGCGGTAACACTTTTAGCACTCTATTTTCTTTTTGATATATATATTTTTTAAATTAATTAAACTATATTTTAATACACAAACATTTTTTTACGCACAAAATGTTAATCAAATTTTATTTTTTTAAACCGCAAATAATTACTATAATATAAATTATATTTTTTTTAAACATAAACATTTCATATTAAATTTAAAAAGTTACTATTAATTAAAACATAAAATACCTAGAAACACGATTTAATAATGCAAACCACGACAAACAAGACTTAAAATCAACAGACATGACTAAACCCACATGTATGGTTTATCCATATTATTCCTTACATTGTTGAACAACTAATGATCCTCCTGGACAAGTTTTTCTCTTATTCTAACCAAAACTTCAATGCACATCTTTTTTTTCCTTTCCAAATTCCAAGAAACCATCAAGCTTATTGTCCAACATTTGGATATCGTCCGTAATCTCCTCTACTTCGGTCGATGAGTTTTGAGCACATTTGAGCTTTCTTTTTGCTTTGTCTCATCCCATAGGATGAGTTGAAACTTCATATGACTCATTATTGAGGTCAATCCCTCCGATACACGCATCAGAAGATTAGCCGACTGTGGGTTGACTCCGAAGTTTTACTTCGTTTGGACATCCCCGTGTAATCATCAGGACTTTTTAGATCTAGTCATTTTCGATTGCCCTTCACAACTCCCCAAAATGATTCATTGACAAAAGCTCTTCTGACTTTCGCCTTGTAAATATGACGAACTTTAGCCATGAAATCCACCTCAGTTGCATCACTTTGGGGGTTGCGGATCACGTTCAGGTAGATGCCGTTGAACTCCATTGCGACTTGTTTGGCGGTCCGCCATTTCGAGTAAAGTGAATCGGGATCACGGTACTTATTTTTCATGCGCTGACAAAAATTAAGCCAAACTTTTTCTTTAAAGATTGTTGAGTCTTGGTCGTTGTCGTGGATCGGATCCTCCGACACATATTGCGCTAGTGCCCTTTCTTCATCATTTGCCCACCCTTTACACGGAGCCCTCATTTTTCCTTTTCCCTTTTTTTTTTTTTTTTTTTTTTTTTTTTTTTTTTTTTATTTTTTTTTTTACTTGTGGTTCAACTTCGGACTCTTGAAGTGACTCTTGAACGAGATCTTCAACGGGACCTTCATTGGAAGAATCGATTGACTCGTCGAGTAGGCGACATGGTTGGGATTGAAAATTACTTTGCGCTACTGATTGAAGGGGTTGGAGATGGAAGGTTTGGTGATTCAAATTCAACCCTCACTCTCTCAAAGTTAATTAGAAAAACTTGGTCTTATGTGAGAACCTGCGCTACTAATTGATTGAGGGTGTTTCAAAGCAATGAAATGAGCATACTTGCTCAATCTTGATCAATCAACTACCACCAAAATTGACTTCATGACACTTGATAATTTGGCAAGCCCTCGATTGTGATCTCTTCCCAAATCTTCAGTGGTAAATGGATCATAGGTTGAATTAAGCAGGCCACAACTACCGACCCGATTAGTTGTTTATTCCTTTGGCAATTGCCATGTTCTTTGTCCACATGCATTATATCCTTCACTTATGCCCACCCAAAACACCTCTGAAGTTGTGTTGGTAAGTTCTATCTTCTCTAGAATGTTCTCAAGTCCAAGTCCACCATGGTATCCTTCAAAAATGCTTTTTATCAAAGTTTAATTTCTTGGTATAACAAGACGGGTTTTGTACAAAAGTCTTGGATGGTAAAATCCTTTGCGAGATTGAAGTTCTTTCGTAAGGTCTTTAGTTATCTTATTTATGAGAATATCATTGCTAATTTCTAGTTTCAAAGCACCCTATTGACTCCATTGTGGTTCTCCTAAAACCTCACACTCATCTTAGCACTTTTTTTTTTTTTATAAGGCATCGGCCACTCGATTACTAATGCATGTCTTGTAAACTAGGTCAAAGTCATGTTAGAATCTAATGATCGATGATGAAAATGAAACAGAAGATTATGAAATGAGATTTTTCATTAACGAACAAAGTCTCATTACAAAGCTTATATATAGACAAAGCATAAATAACTACTGTAACAACTTTTTAACTCAAATTACATATATACACTTATGGTTATGAACTAATAACGATTTTGTAAACCAACACCCCCCCCCCCCTCTCAAGCGGAAGGGTGTAAATTCAACTTCGAAACAGCATCAACATGGATAGGACCAGATGAAGGTTTGGTTAAAACATCCGCTAATTGCATCTTGGTGGGAACATGATGTAAAGAAATTAAGCCATGAAGAAGTTTTTCGTGAACAAAGTGACAATCGAGTTCAATGTGTTTAGTTCTCTCATGAAAGACAAGATTAGATGCAATATGTATAGCTGCTTGATTGTCACATTTGAGTGGAATAGGAGTGATATCAGAAATATCAAATTCATTAAACAAGCGAGTTAACCATGCAAGTTCTGAACACACTCTTCGCATAGATCGATATTCGGCTTCTGCGGATGATAAAGAAACGGTAGCTTGCTTCTTAGACTTCCATGAAATGGGTGATCCTCCAAATAGAATAAAGAAACCACTTACAGACCTCCTGGTGATTGGACACGAAGCCCAATCAGAATCACAGTAAGCATCAAGGGTAAAAGTGGAATCTTTGTTGAAAAATAATGCTTGTACTTTGGAAGACTTTAAGTATTTCAGTACATGAATAGCAGCTTCATAATGATCTTGAGTAAGATGTTGATTGAACTGACTAAGTATTGAATGGAATAAGCAAGATGTGGTCGTGTATGAACTAAAAAGTTCAACTTTCCAATCAGTTGTCTATAAGTTGTAGGATCATTAAGGGAAACTCCAACATTGGGTTGTAATTTGTTCTTGTTTGGCAATGGTGTAGAAACAAGTATATTGTCATCATCAATAGAATAATGAGAGAGTAATTCACGTATGAATTTACTCTGACGAACAATCATACCAGTTGTATTTCGTGTAAACTCTAGGCCGAGGAAAAAATTGATTGTTCCCAAATCTTTGATCCAAAATTGAGCATCTAGAAAGGCTTTCAAAGATGTAATCTCATCAATATTGTTGCCAGTAACAAGAATATCATCAACATAAACAGCAACAATAGTAATAGAACCATTACCCTTTTTTAAGAACAAAGAGTAATCATTTTTTTTGAATGAACATAGCCTTGTTGAAATAATGCTTGAGTTAACTTTGCATACCATTGACAAGTGGCTTGTTTTAATCCATACAAGGATTTGTTTAGTTTGCAAACTAGATGAGGATTATCAACATTATAACTAGGTGGTAACTACATAAACACTTCATGTAAGTCTCCGTGTAAAAAAGCGTTATTGACATCCAATTGTTGAATATCCCAGCCCTTTTTGACAGCCAAAGAAACCAAACAGCGAACAGTAGTGAATTTAACTACTGGAGAGTATGTTTCGTGATAATCTGTGCCTTGTTGTTGAGTAAAGCCTTTAGCATCAATGCGTGCTTTATGTCTTTCAAGAGATCCATCTGCTCTATATTTAACTTTGTAAACCCACCGACATTGAATTGGCTTTTTACCCTTAGGTAGTTTAACTAAACTCCATGTGTTATTTTCAATAAGAGCAGATAATTCAGTTTGCATAGCTTGTTCCCAGCAAGGATTAGCTTTGGTTTGATGATAAAATGTAGGTTCTGGAACTTGGAGTGTAGTATGAAAAGCAAACGAATGGAAATGGTGAGCATGATCTTGAAATGTAGAGGGAAAGGGGATGCATAAATTGGTTAAGGTATGATAACAATGATCAGGATAGTGAACATTGTTACAAATACAATCTTGAACATAAGCAGGAGGTTGTCAAACATGTGAAACTCTTGGAGCATGAATTGGAGGTGGTTCAGGGGTATTTTTGTCATTTGGAATATTGAAAGAAGTATCTGGATTAGGTGACAGATCAGGGGCATTATTGGGACGAAAAGAACTAGGTGTATGAGATTTATGTGTAATCAAATGTAAAGGGAAAACATCTTCCATAAAGTGAATGTCTCTTGAAATTTGTATTGATTTGGTAGCCAAATTAAGAACTTTAAAGGCCTTTTGTCCAATCGGATAACCAATAAAAATACAAGGAGTTGATCTTGGCATAAACTTGTCTCGATGAACTGAAGATGTATTAACAAAACAAAGACATCCAAATGACCTGAGTTGAGAAAGATCTAGTTTCTGATTGAATAACACTTCATAAGGTGATTTATGTTGTAATATTTTTGTGGGCATTCTGTTGATTAAATGAATTGCAGTTCGAACACATTCAGTCCAATAAGCACTACCCACTCCAGATTGAAAATATAAATATCTAGCAACCGCCAAAATGTGTTTATGCTTCCTTTCAACAGTTCCATTCTGTTGAGGGGTATATATTGTTGATCGTTGATGTTGAATACCTTTTTCTTGAAAAAATTTGATTCCTTCATTACTAGAACCAAGCTCTAAAGCATTATCTGCTCTAATGATTTTCACTGTCTTTTGATTGAGTTTGAACATAAGTAACAAAGGATTTGATAAGAGTAAGAGCATATCCTCTATGGGTTAACATGTGAACCCATGTATGTTGACTGAAATCATCAACAATGGTGTGGAAAAACTTATATCCATCATGAGATAAAGTTTTATAAGGTTCCCAAACATCAATGTGTATTAAATCAAACGGATGATTAGTAGTAGAAATGCTCTTTGGGAAAAGATTTCTATGTTGTTTTGATTTAAAACAAATAGAACAAGAATCAATAGATGAATCATGAGAACAGTCAACAAGAGACATAAAATGAAGTTTTTGAACAGGTAAATGTCCTAATCTGTTGTGCCACAACATAACATTGGAATGTTTATTCATTACATTGAAAGAATGAAAGTTCAATGTATTTATTACAGAAAAACTATAAGAAAGATCGTGCTGAATGAAATAATGATCAAAGACATAAAGGTCTCTAATCCTTTGGCCAAAAGAAGCAAGATCAAACTTATCCTTTACTGAAGGGTCCTGCAACATACAATGTTGATCAGTAAAAAGGATAAATGTATGAAGCTGAGAAGCAAGTTTAGGTACAGAAACAAGATTGTACTTGAAAGAGGGAACATAAAGAACATTGTGAAGAGTAAGAGTTTGATGTAACTGAAAATTACCATGTAAGAAACAATAGTGTCATTCCCATTAGGAAGACCAAGAAAATGTGGCTGTGAAAGTTTTGATAATGAAGAAAAAAGGGATCGATTAGAGCAAATATGATCAGTTGCACCAAAATCAACAATCCAAGAAACATGTTCATGTAATAGAGATGATGATTTGTAAACATTAGCAACAAAATGTAAAAAATCAAAAGGGAATACCTTCGTCTTCCAAAACACCATTAACAATTGAAAGATTTGTCTGAGAAGATGAACCAGTACTTGAGAGAGAATTCTTGTTCAAGAATTAAATCAATTGAGTGTACTGTTCTTGTGAGATCGGTGGAGAATCATTAGAAATAACATTCTGAACTGTAGGTTTAACATCATCTTTCTTGTTCTTTGTGAATTTGAAGGTTGAAGGAAAACCAATAAGATGGTAACATTGGGCTTTTGTGTGCCCTGATTTCTTGCAATGATTATAGGTGAGCGTTTTGCGAGAAGAATCGGGTAAAATTTGCATAGCGACTGCATCATGTGAATTTAGTGAAATAAGAAGAAAAATCGTCAGCAACTTGAGATAGAGAGTACAACTGTTGTTGCATTTGATAGATGAGTGCGCCATCAGATTGTTCAAATCGATGATGTAATTCTTGCCAAATTTCTTTTGTAGTTGGAAGGAATAAAAGACTATTAGCAATCATCTTAGAAATAGAATTTAAGATCCAACTGATGACCATTGAATTAGCGCGAAACCAATTAGAATATGTAGAAGAAGTCGAAAGAGGTGCAATAATAGTTCCATCAACAAAACCTAGCTTATTCTTCGCAGACAGTGAAATAACCATTGATCGTTTCCAAGAATTGAATCCAACACCAGTGAA